TATATATATATATATATAAACATGTATCTAACAATATATGGATTTAAACGTTCATGGCATAATATATAGAATTTTGCGCATGAGCTGGTAAAGCTTGAACACCAGTGGAATTATGTGTGACATAAGAATTTGTTGTAAGTAAAATTTCGGATTGCGAAACATCATGGGATGGTACGTTAGCTGCTCCTTCAGGAACTCCACGTTCCATTGTTGTATAATTGTTAATTATTTGTTGTTGTAGTTTCGAAGGCGAGCAAGGAATTTGTAACGAAGAAGATGATGAATAAGATGAGGAAGAAGATGACGAAGAGGAAGAAAAGGAACAAGTTGAAGAAGAGGAGGAGGAAGAAGAAAAAGAAGCAGATGATGATGTTAAAGATGATGATGATGTCAACGAAGAAGACAAGGTACAAATAGTTGAAGAAGAGAAAACAGTGACAGTGGACGGTGCAGAAGTTACGAGATTATTAGAAACAGAATGAATAATCCCTGTATAATTTGGGAAAATAAAGTTCGAGGTTTGTTGAGGTATTTGTTGAGATGTAACTGTTGGTAGAGAACAAAAAGTGGATTGTAGAGAAGATGATGATAAATGCGAAGATGATAGTGAAGGAGAAGTGGAATTAGTAGGACCTGAAATAGAATCAGATGAGGATAAAAATGTTTGAGCCGATTGAAGATCAGAGGAAGGTGTGAGAACTGTACGTCCTAAATGCAGTTGATAAAATCGATAAGAACCTTCGGATGTTGCTATCCCGCCACCATTAAAGGAAGCACATTTCGATGGTGCTATTACGGTATAGGAGGATGAAGAAGAAGGTGTTACGGATATGGTGGATGGTAAATGATAAAAGGTTGGTTGGTGATTGTGCCGATGATATGAATGATGCTGTTGTTGCGTGTGATGATGAAATTGCAACGAATGATTCGCAGTATGAGGAACTGAAGAAAAAGCAACTCCGGAAATTCGAAAATCATCTGGTTGCTGACGATGATGCAAATGAAGATGCAAAGTTTGTTGTGTAGGTTGTAATGTAATTGGATTAGACGATGTAAGTCGAGAATCAAAAAGAGAAGAAGATCTTGAGAAATGATTATTGAATGAATCAGAAGAAGGAAGTGGCGAAACGTGATCAAAATTTTGAGAAATGTTTGTTATTGGTGATATTGAAGGATTTCCTAAATGGAAATATTTCAATTGTTGTGTTGATAATGATGGTTGTGTTTGCAATCGATGATTATTTTTGTTAGATCGAGGATATGGATATCTTTCAATATGATTCGCGTAACTAGGAGAAGGATGAGATGGCAAAATGCGTTGAATATTTTGATAAGTTGGATCGGATATACTATTATATGGAACAAAATACATGGTTCGGTAACATTTGCCATTGGTAGGAACTCCTTTATACGCATTTGTAGGCATTATGTTACATCGATAATTAGAAGAAGTTGCAATAGATTCTCTTCGTCGAGTTTTTCCAGAGAATCCATTTGTATTTCTATCTTCATTGATACCAGTAATAGTATTATTGCCATCAATCTCCTCAGCTCCGATTGCAATACCTCGCGTTGATCGTGTATTCGTAATATTTAATTGTTCTTGGAAATGCTGACTATTTCTGGAATCTTGATAAAAACGAAAGTTATTATCATTTGCTGGTAATCGAGAATATTGTTGTATGAAAACATCGTCCGTATACTGTGCACAATCCAAAGAATTTTGAGTAGTAACATTAGTATTCTCCACAATAGTTTGATAGATATCATCAATTTGTTTTTGCATAGTATTTATTCTATTAATTGTGTTCGCATCTTGTTCATCAGCAACTACAGTGTCAAGAAACGAGTTTGATGTAGAATCATTTATTGTTTTGTCATATAATGCGATTCGGCTATCAACTTTAATACAATTATTTTCATAATATGCCGGTAACGAAGAATGAAAATTTGCTTCAAGAATGTTTGTATTATCATTTTCCAAATTTCCACATTGATGAAATTTTTCTTCGATATTATTGTCTTGTTGACATCGTTTGATGCCGGTTACTGATGGTCTACGGTTAAATCCATAATCATTTAATTCATCGTCGTCGTCATCATCATCATCATCGTTGTCGTTTTCATTATCATTATTCCTACTAATATTATTGCCATTACTATTATAATGGCGATTAACAATGCTTTGCACTTCATTAATCACAGTACGATTTTTGTTTCCATTGTTTTCATGTTTATTAATATTCTCGTTATAAGTAAATCCAACTTGTTGTCGACTATCATTTTCATTTTTTCCATCGACAATTTTATCGATTTTATCTTCAGTGTTATAACCAATAATATTATTTATTATTGGATGATATTGATTTTCGACCTCATTATAACGTCGTTTTAATTTTTCAATTCTAAATTTGTCTTGTTCTATAAATGCCAATAATTCATCTGTTGTACTATCTCCTACATCTGGCTTGTTGATATTTGTTGGTGTTCCTTTGGTAATGTCTGGTTCTACATTATTTCGATCTTCTTCACAAAATACTGCTTTGATATCTTCTAGATTGTAAGGCGAAAAAGCATTATAAGTATTATAAACTGTAGAATTAGGATTTTCTATTCTAGAATTATATTGATAGTAATCTTCTTGAGTATCTGAATTATTAACAGTTACACATGATAATGGTGCAAGACTGGCTAAAAATTGTTTACGAACATCAGAATTATTCGTTTTTAATGAATTTTTTGATTGTTGATTATCTTTAGCAATATTATTTTTTCCATTATTACCGAGACCTAAATCAGGTAAATTTGAAGGAATATTTTTTTTGTGTACAAACAAATCAGTTAATTTTTTATATGTCGAATGATTATGTATGTTATCCAGAATTGGACTATTATCAACTGAAGAAGTTTGTTTATAATAATTGGAACTTGCAATAGTTGTTGTCATAGCTGTTGTCGTTGCCGTTGTCATTACAAATGAAGAGTTTGATATTAACATTGTTGTCATTGCTGTTGTAGTTATCGTGGTAGTAGTCATTGTTGTTAAATCAGGCAATGCATTGAATTTCGTAGCGACCGGTATCGATGTCGATAATGTAGTTACTGTTGACATTTTATTAATGCCTGCTGTATTACAAATAAGTGTTTCCGTTGATAATAATTTATTTTGTTTGTGTTCTGATAATGGAGCATGTATCGAAGCAAAAAATTCGGCATCGATCTTCGTATTTGATGAATCTATGACATCTTTAATAGAATTTTGACAAATATTATCTTCTTCTTGATCCACGCAAGTGAGTTGACGTATTCGTTCCTCTAATGATAAATTCTTGGAAGGAAGAATTTTCTTTCGAGAATTTGTACGATATTTATCAAGAAGACTTCTTCGAAGAGTATTTCTCTCGATTGTTTTTTTAATTGGATTCGTTGTCTCTTCCTGAAGAAATACAGTTTGATTTTCAGAAATTTTCGAATTTTTCGTTGCACCATAAAAACGTGAATTATCTGTAGTAACGAGAAATGTCGAATTATCTTGAGGATCATCAAATGCATGCGTCGAAGAAATCAGTTTTCCAAAAGGGACTGGTGGCGGCGAAACAAATTTTGGATTAGGAAATAGTTGTCTAACTGCTGAGTTTGGTTTAAGACTATTACCCGTTAAAGAAGAGTTACCTAGTTTAAAAATAAGGGAAAACTCTTTTATATCAGATGGAGTTTGATTTATCGTAAACTGATTTTCATTGTCATTTTCAATATCGTTTATCATTATTGGCGTATTATGATCATCGGTAATATTGCGACAATGAATTTCTTTATTATATCCGATACAGTCAATAGAATTATTTTCACTGATTGTGTTATGATTATTTGTTATATTATGGGAAGTAACATTTTTTTCCAAAATATTTTTTCGATTAATTTTCTTTCCATTTTGCAAATCAATATCTTCACTGATTTCACGTACAATTCGGTGTTCGGTAACAGTTGTCATAGTTATAGTCTCCACAAGATACCGATGATGAGATTCTATAAAAAAAAATAAAATATTTATGTATATTGTTTCTTACGAGGAATTAATTTTATATTTTTTGTATAAACAAAAAAAAAGAATTAAGAAAAATTATACCATTAGAAGTGGGTTTTTGTAATTGTTCGTCTGTTTTTTGTACGTGTTCATTATTATTTTCTGTTATTCTATGATTGCATCTTTTTTCCATTATTTTATGATTGGATTCTCCATCAATTTCCATATCTGTAAAATCATATTATATCATTTAATTAATTTTAGTACATACAAGTTTAAGAAATATATACAAAATATATGCGAATATATTTAACGCAAAGCAAGATATCAAATATTATATATATATATTTTATATAATATGATTAAAATTAGTTTTCTATAAAATTCGAATATTTATTTTTTGTATCATGTAAATACCGGAAATGGTACACTGTACTTCCCGTAAAATATATAGAAATAATAATTCATGTATATAAGATAATAATTCGTGATAAGTATTTATTAATTAGTGCGATAGATGTTTATACATTTATTTTATACTTCTTGATTTCTTTTATTTTTTTTATTTTTTCTTTTTTAAAAATTATTAGATTATTAAAACTATAATGATGATTATGCATATATAATTGAAAAATAATAATCATAACAATCATAATAAAAATAATGTGTTACTTAATAAATTAAGTTAATTATTTATATATTTTGCATGTAAAATGAAATATTCTTGATAATAATTTTTGTTATATAACATTGTTATCAAGTATACACATGTAATTAGTATAAGAAATATTTATAAGTGCAGTAGTTAATCTCAATAAAAATATAGAACTTCATTAATTAATAAATGACCAGAAAATGAAAAATATAAAATATTAACAAATGTCTAAAAGGCAAAATTATATGTATAATAAATATTAATATAGCATATTTTATTACATACAAAATATAATAATATAAACATAAAAAAGAATAAGAAATTATTCTTTGTCTATATATAAATTGTCTATATATAAATTTAAAAAGAATATATACATTTTATTTTTAATTATGACATATAAAATATAACATATAAAATTAATAAATAATAAATTGTGAAAACATTGAATAATATGAATTAAAAAAAATTAATGAACATAGTGATCTCATCATTTATGATATTATCCATTCTCGTTATTTGTTTATAACATATATCTTGAAATAAATTTTTATCTTTTTATATGTTCAAATTAAAACATTTATATGTAAACATTTATCTTTTTATATGTATTATATGTAACGAAATATATGACTCTACAAATATTTAATATATATATTTTTTATCTTTTTTTAGATATTTGTTTATATTTCAACACAGATATAACAATTTTTTTGTGTGAATTATTTTGTAGATTTTTAAAAAAATACATATTACTTGTCTATTATTATAAAATAATATTTACTTATTTGTTGAAAATATTAAACAACAGATATAGATATTATAATTTTTTTTCTGTATTATTATATAAATTATTATATATATATATTATATATATTATTATAAAGTTTTAAAAATATGTATATATTATTTATTTGTTGATATTTTGTTAATAAATGAAATTTCACAATGAAATTTTTATTGAAA